ATATATACACAATTTCGAAGAACATAATATAGGTGTAGTGTCAGAATCGCAAAAATAAGGAAAAGCTTTGAATTTGACCTAGAATTTGACCTAGCCATTTTTGTGTCCGAATTTTGAAGCTATGTGGCTTTTGAGGTCCCCTTCTTTTAAAGGCATTCATTATATTTAGCTGAACTCAGTCCATATTTTGTATTTTTCACTTCAAAAAAATCTTTTTTCCCATTGACTTAACATGGGCACCAAATTTAGCGATTTTTGAGCTTTCAAAACGCCATAACTTCCGAACCAAGAGTCAGATCGAAAGTTGGTTTGCAGATTCGGATTCCTGACGAAATTCTACCCCTAATTCATAACTCATACCTTTGAATTTGGAGAACTTTTGTTTTGACCTACTTTCTGGACGCCATATTTCAAAATCAGTAAGAGAAATCAAAAAAAAACAGGGACACTTATGAAAGGGCTTTTTCTAAGCTACATGTTGAAAAAAAGTCGAAGACGTTTCGATAAAGAACGACGAAGATAATAGACAGAAGGTAGAAAATGTATGATTTGACCCAGTTCTAGGATAGGATAGGATAGGAAAGAAGGATAGGATATGATAGAATAGGAAGGAAGGATAGGATAGGACGGAAGGGTAGATAGGAAGGATAGGATCAGACAGGATAGGAAGGAAGGACGGATGCATTTTTCAATATTTTCTTCGCTATTCTTGACTTTCTATCAGGATATCATCAGATCGATTTTTCTCGAAATTTCAAAACGCCATAACTTTCGAACCGGAAGTCGGATCGAAATTTGGTTTGCAGATTTGGATTCCTGGGGAAATTCTACCCCTAATTGATGACTCATACTTTGAATTTGGAGAACTTTTGTTTTGACCTACTTTCTGGACGCCATATTTCAAAATCGGTAAGAATAATCAAAAAACGGATGGCAAGTACATGAAAGGGCTGTTTCTAAGGTACATGTTGAAAAAAAGATGAAGACGTTTCGATAAATAAAGACGAAGATAATAGACAGAAGGTTGAAAATGCAAGATTTGACCTAGTTCTTGACCTTTGACCTAGATAAAAATTTGACCCAATTTCCGAGGAACTAGATACTGGACCTGAATTGACCATATACAGGACTTGACTCAATGTCTTTTAGTTATTGAGAAAACGTGTAGAGAATAAGAATAATAAAGAAGAAGAAGAATACTGACGAAAGTAATAGACTCCAGATTTACATCTGTAGTCTAATAAATAATACAAATATTATCATAGAAAAATCATACCTTTGGCCCTCGGTCCAATATTTCACTATATTGCCCTTCGAAATGACGTTATTGTACTATTCTATCTACATTTTACGATCATTTACAATATTCCTGAGTGTTCTCACCCAACTTGAAATCGATAAGCAGTTGTTCGAGCCCTACCCGAGCCTTCTGACCTGAGATTTGGGTTGACTTCGGGTCAGCGTGACACCTCTATACATTTCCAGGTAACCATGCAGTGAATTTTCTTCTAACTCCTATATCACAGTTTACCAGGTAATCATGCAGTGAGATTTTCAAATATTAAAGGTTCTAATATATCTAACAGTACACTGGTAACCTTACACTTAATTTTTCCTCATCTTCGAATAATGATGTCATAGGTCTGTGGGTGGGGCCTAGAGTTTTGCCCAGCCCACTTGTGGATGATTGACGACTGGAAGAGCTAGTTCCAGCTCTTGTTGAGGATCTGTGGTCCTAGATGTATAATATATTATTATATAATTGCTAGAATTTGTGTCCTTTGATTGGCTGATTCAGTACCATGTGATCAAAAATACCAAAGCGTATTTCACACCTCCCTTAATTTTGGAATAATAAAAGACGTATTGCCCGGCGTATTGCCCGCCCGGGAATTCTGAATCGTCTCGTTTCGTCCAGTACAGTTGTGACGTGCATCAAAATGGCAGACGGAAAAATATTTAAAAGTCTGAATTCCGATGAAAAGAACGACATCTTGAGGGATGTGCATTCTAAAAACACCATTAAATCAATGGAATGACATCTAATGTCTTAGAACATTTTCAAGTGTTATGTGGACGAAATAGACGTTAAATCTATCGATAAAATCGTTCTAGATGGAATTTTAGAGTTTTTGTGGAACTGCGAACGAAGGATGGGGAATATTACAAGAGTGCCAGTCTGCAAAGTAAGCGAATGTCTAGCAATGATATAATAAAACAAATATTTCATTCTATGTTTGGGCAATACCTGTTGCACTTTCAATGATTTTTGCAGCATGTATTTCCCTCGCCCTCCGGGCTGCGGGCAATACATGCTGCAAAAATCATTGAAAGATGAACAGGTATTGCCCTCCATAGAATGAAATATTTGCTTAATATTTAAAGTAATTCTAAAATATAAGTGCAGCTTTCTTTTGTTTTGTTTGATATTTAAGAGGCATGTTTTTTTCAATTTGTTATTGTTATTTACTCTATTCATTATCTATTATTTTGTTGCCTAGGTTTCTAAATTACAATTGTGAAGATTGTGAAGATGTGGTAGGACAAATTTTTATTTTGCAGCAGTAGTCGTATCTTTTTAGCTGTTAACTTTATAATATAAAATGTAATGTTTGATGAATAAATATTCTGACAAAAAAAGAATGTTCGAATAGTCCCATGTATCATCTTAACCAATCAAATTGTTGGAATTACATAATGTTTTTAAGAGGGGGACTCTATTCTAAAGGGGCTGAACTAAACATTTTGTGACTTTCCATTTCAGAGAGGGCTCCTATTTTAAAGGCTCTAGACTACTGTACAGTACAAATGGAGTGACTTTCTGATTCTCAGTTCCGGGACTTGAATAACATGTCTAGAGACACGCTAGTCTGAAAAAGGAGTTCTATTCTAAAGGGAAATCAACAGACTACATGTAGAGACCTCTAGTTTTTCAGAGTTTTTCCGACTGAGTCTTGAACCTTGGGAGACCCTAACAGATTGGGTAGATTGTAGCTCTATATCACTCTGCATTGAACTTCGCCTGCCTGTCTTTGATGCTCCTTCATTCTTCAAAATATTGTAATAAACTGATGAGTAAATTATTAATACAATGCATTAGAAAGTTTCCCCCAGTATATTTGATCCCTTTAGATTTGGATCCATGATTTTCTACCCTCCTCCTATTAAGCCATAAAACATCCCCCCTCCCCTTATATCTGTATATTTCAGTGTGTCTGCAATCTGCAACAAAATAAAAAACAAATACGAAAAACAAGATAAAAATAACATGCAGACATGTTTTTTATAGTAATATAACATATTATTGTTTGTCATGCATCGGTGAGGCCCTGGAATCAAAATGTATTGTTTATTATGATTTATCCAGGTATTACTTATATACAGTACATAATCATATATACACATGCAGGATGAGAACTTAATTAAAATTTAAGACTTTTTCATCCTCATTGCTTTGACCTTTCTCCCATTTATCTTTTCAATAGCTGGCAATTTCCAATTTCCCTAATTCGCAATGCTCACTCTTCCAAGTATTAATATCGACTCGCATATAAAAATGATATCACTCAAAATCATAGGAAACATCCCCAATCCTTTTGAGCACTTTTCAAGTGATTTTGGCCATTTTTGGGCCAAGGTTGTCAAAAGTGAACCCCCCCCTGGAATTTTTTGAAAAGTGAACCCCCTTGACAAATCTTGGTTATGGGACTGAAAAGGGTACCGTACGGTGCTGTTGGAGATGGCTGTGTAGTATGCTGAAGACAACCACTGAACCTAAGAATTTGAGGATAGACAGTATTTATCAGAAAGTATTTGAGAGAAAGTATTCATCAGAAATACTTGGTAGAAAGTATTCATCAGGAATGAGAGGGAAGAGTAGAGATGTGAGAGGATAACAGAGATATAACAATTGATACAATTCAATTATATATAACAGCAATATAATTATAGTACCATATATTAAATAAAATAATAAACTAAAAACCCCTTACATGTACATGTATTGATCCCCTGTGGCCCTTAGAACACTGCTGATTGATACAAATACAACTGTTAGTACAACATGTAAACAAATATGAAAAAAAAATTTCGGGTTAAACACCTCAAAGCAAACAGGTTGAAGCTTTTATGGTGCTAAATACATATATAAACCAATGATTCAAAACAGACTCCCACAAATTTTTCAGGATCAAAAATAATTTTGTTATTTTGTAAAGGAAAATCCGCATTGATGAGAAATTATTTCAATCACCAATAATTAACAAAATAAGGGATATTTTTCAAAATGCCACGTGGATATCTAAAAACTACGATATAGAATACATTGGTCAAATAACACACTACTAATTCAAAATATTTTGTTCAAATTATGTTGCAATGGGATTTCCCCATTTTCCATTCTTCTGAATATATGGAATTACCTTAACTTTAACTTTTACTACACACTTGAATACAGCTGCAAAAAGTTGTCATCCACAAATAACATGTGCAACGTGAATATCATGGACAATGTTAAAACAATTACATATTTCAGTATGATATTACATATACATATAGATTCAGGGTCCTCACTGGGGTTTTAGACTCTTGAGAAAATACATAAAACTGGACACAAACAAGGAATAGGAAAAGGAAACCGTTCAGAAACTGTTTAGAAATGTAATAATATTGTAATTAAAATAGGAAGATAATCTTAAGTAGTATTTTCTCACAAAGGGGAAGAAGACCCAATGCCACGAAAAATCTAAACATTTCCTGGTGAGAACCCTCAGATTGATAGTAGTATAACAGATTTTGAGCACAGTTAGACAGATTAATAGATAAGCACATGTATACACATATTCATTGAGATGACATAAACTAGTTTATCTTCAAGTATGCTTGACCAAGCTTGACAATATTTAAAGCCTGAAATACTTCAACGCCAGTCTTGAAATATTACATCATCAACATTAAAAATCAACATCAAGCTTATCGTAAAAAGATTCATTAAAACTTACAGCTTTTTTGGCATCTTTCCCCTTGACGTCATCCTTGCCCTTTTTAGGAAATGGCGAGCTACTGCTCCTAAACATAATGCCACTTGCGATTTTAGCAGCTTCTTCAGCAAGACCACCTTTTCTGCTAGTCTGAAAGAGGTGGTAATCGTGGTTAGAATTTTATAGCTACAATTATTAATACATGTAGGCTTTTTTTTTATTCCTTTTTTTATTCATTGAAAAAAAACACATGTAGGGTTAATCTGATGAATACTTGTGAGTAAAAAGTGAGCATTACTGAGCATAAGGATCATATCACGTTGAATACACCAGTTCTCGTCCGATCACTGAAGTTAAGCAATGTCGAGCTTGGTTAGTACTTGGATGGGTGACCATCTGGGAATACCAAGAAATTAATTTCAACCATATATTTATGGGATATACCTAAGAGGTATTGCTCACTTTCATTGGTGGTGAACAAAATACAATACAAAAAAAAGAAAGCAATCAACTCTTAGTTTTTTTAACCCTTTTCTTTCTTGGCACCTTCTTGGCTTCAAAAGAAGTGAGCATCATGGATCCCCCACAACCTTTATTTATTAACCTAACTTTTGTGATTGCATTCTGGTTTGATTCCTTGACAACATAATGATATACTAAATGATTTAACTACTATATGTACGGGTATAAGCATCACCTGTGGCGCCACCTGTTATTAATAATATGAATAAAATTGAAATTGAATTGAATTCTTTTGATTCACATTTTAGTAGTTGGAATGGGACATGATGTATTTATATTTTCATCTTATATTTTAGACACAGATTGTCAATGGTATTCCAAGCACTCGAAAGTTGGAAAGATGGAGAGTTTGATGATCTGGCTGACATATGTATATCCAGGTACCTTTTAATATTGTATACTTCTCAACAACTGAAAGTTGTTTTGATCATTTAAGTAAAACCTATTGAATATCAATTAACACTTTTGAAAATATCATTATTAAGTTTATATTATTATTCATATAATCCTAAGGTCTGTAAACATGTGAGAAATTTGTGACTGTACGTAGTTGTACCTAAGATAATTATATTTTAAAAACAGGACACATAGCGATAAATATCACACTTTGAAGTATAGCAAAAAACCTAAAGCTTAAGCTAAAACCTAATCAGATCTTCGCACAAAAAGTATTGCTAGTCAAAAGCAAAGAACCTAATATTGGCATTTGTTAATATATAATTATTAAATATAATAATATTTATATTAAATGCTCTGTTATTTTAATTTTCCAACAATATTATTCAAGTTCTTAGGAAGCATTCCCCTTTTGAACTCACTGTCTCACGAAATCAAACATGTGAATTTTTCATTATGTTAATGTGGTTAAAAATATCTTGAATACCCTAAGAGACAAGGTGCAAGTTGAAACAATTTTGATTTACATCATTAGAAATTCAAAATTCGGTCAAAGTGATATCATACTTGAAATCTATTATTAAATTACATCTGGAAATGCGTTTTTAAATAGTGTTTATCAACTTTGAAATTGTTATTTTTCTTTGAAACTTTGACTTCTAGATTGGGAAGACTTTGGGGAGGTCTTAACCCCCCATCCCCCTTCTAATGAATTGTGTGGTGTAAACAAGTCAAAATGTTGAATAATGTGTGTGTACAAATGTAACCTAAGCATACAATATCTGCTACTGCTAATAACTGCACATATTCTCATTAGATATACATCTGTGTTAACTTCATCATTGTTAAGACAAAACCTCAGAAAACTTAAAATCAATATCCATCACCTAATTAAAAAGCATTTAACCCCCACCCACTAACGTAATTAATTACATTTTTGATGGACATTGAAATATTACCCAACCCCTAAACATAATCTTTTAATTTCTTATTTGGGAATTTACAAAAGAGTGCATAAATAAATTTTTTCATTTGTTTATTAATTATTAATTTAAAAAAAGTCATCCACCGTGTATGTTGGTTAATCCTCCCAGATGATATGATGTCTTGGGGAACTGAAGCGATAGAAGATAAATTCAATATACAATCCCTCCCGAGATCTAACCTCTCTATATTCATATTTTTTTTAAATAATTTTCATATCATTAGTTTAGTTTAGTTTTAGTTTTAGTTTTTTACCTATAGTGGTCAGTCTTACAATTCAACGAAAAAATATATAAAAAATTAATAACAATTTTACCCAGCCCACCTTGGGCGTATCAACCACTGTTAACAATGGAAAATACAAAATTAATACAAAGAAATCAATATCACATGTTGTAAATGAATTGCCTTCTTTGCATAAAGGCCATCTTAATAAATTTAAACATTTTACAGGTATGTTCCCTAAAAAGAAATTCAATTTTGCTACCTTCATTATCCAAATCTTTAAAATTTACTTCATCAAAGTATGTTTTTCTCAGATCATCATATCTATCGCAATGGAATAGAAAATGTATTTCTGTTCATATGTTAATGATAACACTATAGTTTCTCAACTCAGGAATAGACAAATGGATTTGATTATTGGTCACAATAAACCATATCAGTAGCATAATATTTTATTTCTGTTCAGTGTCTATGACACGCGGTACAAACTTCGACTGTTAATTTGAATTTTTGACCTACCAGCTGCTTGAAAATCAAGGATTGTGAGTCTCATACTGCACCGTTTTTCTTCAAACTTATACCATTAAAAGCAAAACAAAATTGCCTTTCTGTCAGTGCATTACTTTATTGGTCCCCAGCTGTTAGAAGGCCAAAATGCCGCTGGAAGTAGGGACTCTGATTAAGAGAATAATGTACCATCAGAAAGGGATTTTTGTGATGCTTTGAATGGAACAAGTTTGAAGAGTATGAGACTCGTAATCCTTGATTTTCAAACATCCGGTAGGTCAAAAATTCAAATTAACGGTCAAAGTTTGTACCGCGTGTATGAGCCCTCTGAAGCCTTACTAATTAGTACTCAGTATACAGTGATGAAAATTAAATGAAACAAGGATGCACTTAAAGTTAAATTTTTTAAAGATCTTGACAGAGAGCTTGGTGGCCTTTTTGTTTTATAGCCCTAAAAGGAAAGGTGCTCTAGCCAAATTGTTATATAGAATTAAATATAATGTACACATGCTTAATTGCTTAGCCTTCAAAAGGGTTCATATCCTACTGAAAACCACATTTTCAAATCCAGAATCATTTTTACAATTTACACAATGGATTCCAAAGACAAGACACCTATATGGGAACTTACTTTCTCTGCGACATCATGCTCTAAGAATGCATGGACTTTGTAAGCTCCTCTGATTCTCTTCACTACAACAAAATAAAGTAAGTCATTGTAAAAATGAACTGTTAATCAAAAATAATTATATTGTGTTAATGCTTACTTGACATGTACTATAACTTAATATATAGATTGTGTTAATGATATAATAATGAAATTAAGACATATGAGTACATTGTCAATCATATATAATATATAAGCTAATATGAAGGCTGTGTTAATGATCACAGAATTTAATCATTTAATTTATACACAATCTTAAAAGCAAAATGACCACAATGTGAAATAAGTGACATCACAGTCGGGCGGCACAACAAAAATTAGAACAAGGCATTAACATGCAAAATGTCATCACCTACCATTTGTTACATATGCTGAACACTGACCATCAGATGCCGTCACAAAAAATTTGGAGACTGTAACAATATGTCACAACTTGTGGTGACATAACAATATTTATCCATCCAATTTAATCTATGACATTGATTGATTAATCAATCTGAATGCATCTTGCTAGTGATGATAATGGAGTCCATATCCCAGAGAACCAACAAATGTACAGTTTTTTGTATGATTGGTCAGATATAAATAAATATAGCTTGGAACACAACACCCTCCTTTACCATGGAGTTGATTTTCAGATTCATGCAAGCATTCAGAAACAAACCTTATTTATGTTCAAAGTATCAGCCATTTTCATTTTTCAATTACCATCCTTATTGGTAGTACATTAGTACATGTACCAGTGATCTCCCCAGCATTAAAGCAAGTGGGCGCAGTACCCACCTGAGATTTTGAAAAGATGCTTGCACCCACCTGAAAATCCATTTGCACCCACTTGAAAATGAAAAATCATGAAAAATTGGCATATGTTGACCAATTTTGGTCTGAATTGTGAAAATGAGAATTTTGCACCCACCTGAGAAAAAATCCTGGGGAGATCATTGTGTACATTTGAAAACATATATAATCCTAATGATAATTGATTCACAAATCCATAAAGTAAAAAAAAACTGCCAAAAGAAATACAATACTAATCTCCCGTACCTCCTGGATACAGCAATGGTGCCATGTTTATGTAGCAGACACCATGGAAACTGAAGTGCCCATCATCATCATTGGCTCCTTTCTTTCCCTTGCCAGCAGTAGGTACTGCCATTCTCATTACTTCTACGGGCCAGTAGCGATTCTTTGCTATCTTCTCTTGGAAGCTAATTATGAAAGAAATGTGTATTATAAATATCAAATATTTTTTCTGACAAATAATTCACAAATATATTAATGGATTTAAGCCCTGGACTCAATACATTGTCTGCTACATCATTCCACTAAGGCGTTGTTTTCAAATCTGTGTAGCACTGCGCAGCATGAATGCAAAGTTTAGGAAACAATGCCTGAGTGGAATGAATCAATCACAATACATTGAGCTTTGGGCTTAAACTCTTTTCACACAATGCAAAAGATATTACATAGAATCATTTAAAAAGAATAATTTTTTCTGCAAGACACTTCTGCAAGGTTTCATGAGTTTCCCTAGAATCTAAGGATGACCTTGGTGCATTAGAGTTATAGGTTTTTGGTCATATAATGCAATGCAATTGTATGAAATGCTGTGTTCTGATTGGATAGACTGGACACGCCATGCCTAGCTATGTATGAATGACAGTTTTTTTGTTATTTGTTCAAAACATCTTTTTTAATAAAATAAATTTCTCATACAGAATATTGAAACTATTGCTGAAATATTATTATAATAATATGTAGTTTTTGGTCATATAATGCAATGCAATTATATGAAATGCTGTTTTCTGATTGGATAGATTGGACACACCATGCCTAGGTATGTATGAATGACATTTTTTTTTATTTGTTCAAAACATCTTTTTTAATAAAATAAATTTCTCATACAAAATATTGAAATTATCGCTGAAATATTATTATATTAACATGTTCTGTAATTTTGTGGCATTGACAAAACTCCAGATCAGAAAATCTTTTTAAAAACAACTTTATAATAACAAGTCAATAACAAGTCCCTCAGAAATTTGAACTCTAAAACATCAGTTAAACTGAAAAACATTATTTTGACTCTTAAAAGAGTGTACCCAGGTATTAGACTATATAGTAAGGTTTGTACCTTTTAACAGCCTGTGGATCTAAGAAACATCGACGCTCAGTATTCCATACAACTCTGTTCTTCTCCTGTTCAGCTATAGACCTATGTTCTCTCTCGTCCCTACTCCTTAGATCACCATCCTCATCTTCTATGTTATCCGTTGGAAGGCAACTAAAATGTAACGTATGTGAATAGAAACTAGGGGATCATACTTTGAAACTTCAGAAATTCAATAAATACTGATAACTGTGGATATAATGATTCCATAGTAACAGAACAAGTTGGAGTTCTTGACTTTACAAAAAGTTCTAGAAATGACAAGACTTCTTTCAAAATCATGCCATTTTTGACCATTCTGAGCACTTTTCAAGTGATTTTGGGCCAAATGGTACAATGTGAACCCACCTGGAATTTTTTTAAAAGTGAAACCCCTTGGCAAAAGCCAGATAAAGGCCTGGCAACAGTTGTATTGAATGGAAGTTCATGTACTAATGCTTATCAGTCTTCTCAAAGAAATTAAAAGGATGTACCTTTCTGGTATATACACAGCTCCACCTTGCATATTAGTGGTGTTAGGCCACCTCTTCTGTTTAGATATGAATTCTTTCTCGGCAGCCATTTTTAAAGATCCAGCAGGAAAAACAACTGTGTTTTCTTTCTACAAGCAACATGCAACTAAATAATAGAAAATCAAAGGGTAAACATGTTTTCAATTTTAGAAGTAATATTCAACCTTTCCATGGGTCCTTTAATAACAAGATGTGCAGACATGACATAATATATGGGTACTCAGAAAATATACAATTCCCCCCATGATTTGCATAAAAATATATATAATAACTTTGTATGGGAGCATAACTAATAGCATCTCCAGACATGCTATACACACAGGAAATGTGCAATCTACACCCCCTGTAAATTATGAAGAAGATAAATTCAAACTTTGCATGGGAGCATAACTAATACAAGTTCAGACATAATATATACATACCCCGGGATACATACTCAGGAAATTTGCAATTAACAGCTCCATCGTGATTGGTATTGAAGTAATAATTTAAAGGCTCCTTAGGAGCATTAATAATTTCATATACAGACAAACTTTGTATCTACTCAGGAAATGAAATTGATTAAAAAAATATATATATGGTAAGTACAATTTACCTCCCCTGTGATTGGTATAGGAAGTGCAACTGTGTAAATGAATTGTGGTCCTGAAGGCATCCAAGCATCGGGCGGAGAATACATGCTTTCCACACTCACTGACATAAGATTGGAGTCCTGAAGCTGGGGTTCTGTCAGCAAAGGCTCGCCAACAAAGGCAACAACATCAAGTTCAGCCTATATAAAAGAAAATTCCAAAAAATGCATCTGGCATGTACTGTAAAACATGTCTATAATTTGATAACAATTGTAAACCAAAACCACCCATGAATTATCCCCCAACTAAGATGAGATCAAGAAAATGGTTAGGTATATTGTTAGTGATACATTAAGGTAAGCAACTAAAGTAATCACTATTATATTGGTCAGATGTACTGTTTATGTTTTTGATAGATAATATAGCTAATTAAAACAAAATCAAATATGTAACAGAAATGACTACTCCCTAAAAACCCACATGGACAAAAATACAGATAAATGGTACAAATGGTCTAAAATATTGCATTTCAGCAGTTAATCTTTTCAATAATATCTAATTTAATGGAATATGTACATGTACAGGGTAAGCCAAAATAGTTTGATAAAATATTATTGGCTCACCTTTGGATTTTCGGCAGGTACACTCTCTAATGGGGAGCCAGGTAATGGGTGGATTTGAAGTGTGTATTTACGCTTCAGTTCACCTATAAAAAGCGTGGAGAGATTAAATATAAGCGTTTGAGTATGGTTCTAATTTTATTGAGAAGACTACTCAGTGACAGTACATTTTATATACAAGTGGAGACACCTATAAGTAATCTAGCAATCTTTAAAGAGCTTGATTTTAATCCCACATGATAGTCTCAATGCAAGGGAGGACACTATAAGGACTTTTGTTGAGAATGTATCCCAAAGTTGTTAAATAGCTATCCCAAATGGTTTAATTCATGTGATTATATGTCATGTGCTAAAAAGGCATTAACATGTAAAATATCACCAACCGCCAAACACCAACTACCAAACATTGAACTACAACTGCCAAACACAGTCCACAAAAAGTTGGAGACTATAAAAAATGAACTGGTACCAAATTCATAACATTAAAAAACAGGTGGATGTTTATTACTACAAGTATGTTACCTTTTACTAGGTGTATGAGATCTACTGTACATTGTCCAAGTTGTATTGTCTTTTCTTCTTTCTGTTTCTTCTCTTTGGCAAGAACTTCAACTACAGTTACTGAAACAGAGAATAAATCACAATTAATTTCAAGTACAGTGAAAACCTGATTATTGGGATGGTGGTGTTTGTTTTCCTAAACGTTATTGACATTCATTTGTCATTTCCATTTATGAAACCATTTGTTTTATATTTTATCTTACATATTTTCCTGACACCACATCAGGTTAGAAAATTTCTCTAATTAACAATTATATAAAATTAAATTCAAAGATGCACCTTAACTTAAGTGTTCATTTAAACATTGTACATTAGCACAGAAAGAGTCTCTTACTGATAATCAACAAAAAGCTGCAACTTGAACCATCAAATGATTTGATACAAAACATACTTTCTGTAAATGCTACAACTGAACAAGGAGAATGTGAATAAACCACCTTATATTTGCACTTGTCATGCAGCTTACGAGCCTAGAAATTTTACTTTAATATTTACTGTATTTTGTTGATAACAAAAGTATATTTGAATCAGTTAGAGTCCCTTTTCGTTTATTCACCATAATTTCATCATACAAGTAAGTTCAACTTACACAACACAGGTCTGTGTGCAAACTCATCTAATGAGAGTGGATCTTCAAATGTTGCATTGAGCTGTGTGCTGTAGTTGTACTCTGCAGGGCTTTCTGGAGAGCATTCAACCTTGGGTGTCTCACCAAGCTGTTTATCGATGTGTTCGACTTTCACTACACTGTTCAGTGTCTCACCTTTGTTCCCTCTCTGGAATATATCAATATAGAGGTAAGCTGTAGAGTATATATCTATTTTAAAGAATGATGAGTAACTGTCAAAAAACTCATATTTTTGACATAAAATTCTGTACTGTATTTAGGTTATCATATTTTCAACAACAAAAATGTTTCTAACATTAGCATAAATATGTGATGATCCTTGTTACGGTATGCATTAACAAAACAATATAGTCAACTGATAGGTATTCTGAGACTTAATTGCATCAAGTTAAGCCCTTGGTGTGGGTAATAGATTTATCATGGAACAGGATTATTGATATCATAGTATTAATCACACAAACAAGGCACAATACAGTGCTTACCAGATTCCTTGCTCTGAGAACAGTGATAGTGATGGCCTCTGGTCCACGTACATGACCTATATCTGAGTCCCCCATCCTGACCCTAAAAGTAATAAACAATTTTTCAAATGATAACTAGACTACATGTAATAGTTTCATGAATACTGTCAGTGAAAGCATACCCTGTGCCGCAGAGTCTAGTTATAAACTACCGAAGGCGAAGCTTTCTTTTGAGAAGCAAAGTCAAACGAATGCAAAGGGTAGTGAAAGCATGGACCTTTGTACCCTAGGCACGCAGTCTAGTTATAACCTATCCTCTGCCTAGTATAGACTATACTGTGACAGCCCAGGTAATAAATCATTCAAAATCTATCACGCTGACCCTTTCTCAACCAATCAGCGAAGTCCATAGGCCTATTTCGACGACAAACTCTGATGATCAGAGATTTATTGTAAACCGAAAGAGTAAAGACGTAGACGAAGCTCTCTTTCAAGAAGTGAAGTCCAATGAGAAAGATCTGACTGGAACTCTTTGAATGAAAGCCTGTATATAAACTTTATTACACATTCAGCCTAATTTAGTGATCTGTAATTTCAATTTCAGATTTGTAATTTTTTTTTAAAATTCGCCATGTTGTTTACATTGCTCATAATTCAAACCATTATTTCTCAAAACACAAATAAATGTTATACCTGATATGTACGTAGTCGAGTAGAATGTGATCTCCTCTCAATTCCGATACACAATTTACAACTTTTGGTGAAGTAAATATTGAATAAATCAGTGTAATGCAAAGAGTTCTGCAAGAGAAATCGCCATAGAAATTTCGCGCATGCGCTTTGGATGAAAATTGCTGCTTCCGGTTTCAATTTGAAAAATATTTTTCTTTCCACATCTCTTCAACCTTATCTTGAATTCCGTGCTTATTGGTTACGGAAATTGGAAATCATGAGAACCATTGTTCAACGAGTTACACAAGCTAGTGTTTCAGGTAAAATTATTGACTATAGAGTCATTGAATATGGTTTACAGCCAATAATTTCATCTTTTTCAATTCTTTCAAAATAACATTTTCGAAGTGGCTCCAGGACCGACAATTGTCGGTACTTGAGACTGTACAGTGGGTATTTGCTGGGGTACCGACAATTGTCGGCACTCTATCGTCACCTAGTAGATCCAGATAGAGAACCGACAATTGTCAGTACACAAGTGGGTATTACGTGGATTTGCTAGAGAGCCGACAATTTCAAAAATTTATCTACTAGTTTTACCGTCAGAATCATCTCATCCATGGTGGCCTAGTGGTTAGCGAGCACGACGCGTAAACACACGGTACCGAGTTCGAATCCCATCATAATCCTTTTTTCTTTTGAAGGGGGCATAGTGCTTCTTTTGCGGGATCGAATTGTACAGGGAGACTACCCATTTTCAAAATAAATACATTAGTTATGTTTCGTATCGTTCACTGCTAGTGTAGTGGTTAGCGTCATCGACTGCCACGCATGTGGTGCGAGTTCAATTCCCGGCCGCGTTTTTCTGTGTCTAGATTATACATCTTTCTTTTTCGGACCCAGTTTTGGAATTGTTCTTTCTATTTCTTTTTATATCAGTAGAGTTTCCAATCCCTTTTATGTTAGTCTCAGGTAGTAGCTAAATAGATATTTTGAGCCATTGATGCTACAATGATCTGGCTTACCCTCAAAGACTGGCTGGCTTAGTAATTCATAATTTCCTGATGTTTTTGCGAATTATAACCACAATACACGGATAGTAATATTAAATACATTCTGTTTACAAAATGAATTGTCTCTAATAAAACTGCACCGAACTGTGATAAGAAATGAAACCTGTTTTGGAAAAAATTGAGTGCAACATTGTTATGAGATTATTTTTCTAGTTGGTTATATAAGCTTATGTCAATTAGGGTTATTTCCTGCTAATTATCCAGTCATGATTGCCACATGTTATTTTTTGAAAATAAAACCCATAAAGGTTTAATTAAACTTACAAACTTTCTTGTCATGAGTATATATTGAGATATTAAGTCGCCTGTTGATTGTTGATATGTACATGTAGGGTCGGGTCGTGAGACTGCTCGTTGCTTTGATGACTGGTTTTATCATCCAGGGGGATGCGACTGAACCCCATAACCAATAACAATAGATCCGATAAAGAGAAGACCTTTCAAATGCGTTTAATTTGCAGCTTCTCGCTCACGTTTGAAGCCCGGGTTTTTGAAGGAAGTTGCATCAATTTTTGTAATAAAAAAGTTTGTTTTGGTTGGGTTGCTTACCTGTATGTCACGTCCCCCCCTCCTGACTGAAAGGCGATTTTTGGCGATCGCACGCGTACGTGACTGGAAGCTGGCTATACCCCTGATGATGGTATTTTAAACAACAGACGCTCTTTCAACTAACTTTATATTGTACATGTTTTATTGTTTATAACCAGCATGTAGTGTTGAAACAAACAAATGTATTCAAATACGACTTTTAAGTTTTTCTTCACGTTTGTTTTATAATTGCGTAGTCTATACTCTATAGGCCTAACGCTTGAATAAAATAAACAAAACACAATTAGAATACAGATTTTTCTCAGTAGTTTTTATTCTTCATTTGTTCCATTAATTCATCCACATTACTCCGGAAAAGACACAGTTTTAAATTCGCGATTTTACATTCAGGCAAATAAAGGCGAAATCACCATGCTTGAAAATTTAGCTGTTTAGATGTTTTAGGCCTACAGTATTTAGCAGACCCACAGACTTTTGGTCAGTTCTCTATTAGATCCTACTAAGGGGTAAAGTGCTCTCATATTTGTCGGTCCTCTAGCGTGTCAACACAGCAAAGTCTCCCGTACCGACAATTTATTTGTCGGTCCTCTAGCCTGTCAACAAAGCAAAATCTAGAGTACCGACAATTGTCTGTACTCTAGCCTTTGCGTAACATTTTAGTTTTGGTAAAAAATTGCTAATACCTGCACATGTTATTTTCTGGTACAAAATAAAGTATGAAGGCAGGCATGTGTCAATTTCTTCTTTTTTCAGGAAAGTATCATTACATTGTGTTCTTTTAGAATATCTGGTAGGAGTTCAATTTCTTCTTCTTCTTTATCCAATTTACGTGTTAGTGTACTTAACACGATGGCACTTTAATGCTGCCTTTGGTCACTAGATACATTGGTTTCACTTTGTACTATGTTATCACTTGTACTTTTCACTAATACTTGTTTTGATTTACTTTTTGAGAGTGCGCATTTTACATTAGTTTTCGTCATCTAAAAGAGTCAATTTCTCAGTTATAATAAAAAACTTTTGTTTAACCCTTTCCCGACGTGAATATAAGAGGAAAATGTTGTCCCCAGTGACGGATAAGTAAGAGTGTTTTTTAGGGGAAAACTGCAAAATACCTATGCCCTGGGACCTATACCTTGGATTTCATCACTGATATACAATTTTTAGTAAGGATTATCACATAAGAACAACTTGTCAAAATTTGGTGTAAAAATACTGAATAGAACTGGAGATATTGTCATTTCATTGATGTATATAAATAAAAATAATGGTGCCAAAAGGAGCCTATCGTCCTGAAAGGTATTACAAAATAGGGCTCCATATGGAGCCTATCGTCGTGAAAGGGTTAAGAGTCACTATCTCAGTGTTGTTTTACGTAGTTAAATTCTATTAGTAGATAGTATGAACTGTTGTAGTCGTTCTACTATTTTTATGTTGATTTGCTGGTCTAAGTTCGTGTTAAGACCTGTGATGGTTTGTAAGTCTATGGTTGGGCTGTGGTTGGCTCCTAGTAGTACAGTGTCTATAGCTGCTAGCATAACCTCCCTCTGTGTACTGTATTTGCTGCACTGAAACAAGAAATGATGCAAAGTTTCTGGTGAATTACAGTGTTCACAGTTAGGAGAGGGGAGATCAGGGTTGATTTTGTAGTAGTGGCCATTGAGACGGGTGTGCCCAGATATAATTTGATTGACTTTTGTCGGACTGTATCTTTTACCTAACTTTACTGATTGTGATTGTACTTTTACTTGTGGGATAAGGTTTTGAAGTTGACTTTATCAGAGTAGCTGTACCTAATTTGCCATTTATCAATAGACTTATTTTTAATTGATTTGTAAGCCATTGTTTTTGTTGTTTTTGGGGGTGGGAGGGTTGTGGCTGTTTTAGTAGCTTTTTTGGCTATCTTATCAGCTACCTCATTGCCCTCAATTCCTAGATGCCCAGGTACCCAGAAGATTTCTAAGTTTTCCTTTAGCATGGAAAGTGATTTGCAAGCTTTTCTTATGTTGAAAATTTTAGGCATCATATTTTTGAGTTTAGTGTTCAGAAAGGCAGTTGTTATAGCTGGTTGGGAGTCAGATAGTATGATAACTTTATCTGACGTCCTTGTTTTGACAATGAATTCCACAGCCAGCTTGAGTGCAGTGACCTCTCCAGTATAGTTGTTGCCCTGACTGGCTACTGGTTCCTCCAGGCATACCGGATTGCTCTTTAAGCCACTGATGTAAATAATGGCTGAAGCATCAGTTGGTCCTGGGTTGCCCTCAGCAGATCCGTCTGTGAAGATAACAGTCTCCGAGCCATCAAGATCATTCAGCAAGTTGTTGATGCGATGAGATTGCTCGGATTTAGATCTGCTGAAATCCTCGGTATGCACGATGACATCAGCTGGTAAAAAGGTCTCTGCATCTGCTTGGTAGTAGCTGTGTTTGACGTAGTTGGTTGGTTTGGTTGGACAGTTATGCAATCTGAGTCTAGCTGCTAAGATGTTAAAACAGGTAGGCTTTCTTTCTTGTTTTCCAGATTCTGCCCAATGATGGTATTCTTCAGTAATAGGGTCAGTTATATTATGAGATAATATTCTGACCGCCTCTTGAGCTTGTCTGGCTCTCAGGTGTATGTCTATGAGAAGAACTGAGCTATCACCTCCAGTGATTCGGTGCTCACTGTTGATAAACATCCTGTTGTTTTTAGGAGTGCAGCACGTTGGACTGAAGAGTAGGCTTTTGCTGCTTTGTCTGTGGCTGTAGCAATAGCACTTATACCAGTTTCAAAGTGAGGGATCACCAGTGTCTTATAAAGTGTGGTGAAAACTTCCTCACTGCACCCAGAGTTGCAGCTGGTAAAGTTAGTAATACCTGCCAGTGCTCCGAATGCGGACTTCTTTTTCAGGTTGATGTGTTGCTCGAAGTTGAGTTCATCATCGACTGTGACTCCCAGGATTTTCTTTGAGTGGACTATTGGAAGTTGCTTGTTCCTGAAGCGAATGCTGATGTTAGGTTTCACTTTTCCAGGTGGGGTGAAGATGAGTACTTCTGATTTCTCCGGCACTATCTCCATATTCCACTTATTGCACCATTTACCTGCAATTTACTCCAGGTCTTTGTTTATTCTCTGTTCTATGGCTGCTATGTCAACACCACTAGACCAAATGGTGTTGTCGTCAGCAAATCCCGCCGTATGAGACAAAACATTAGCCATGGAATCCGCAGTATAAATGTTGCAGAGGGATGGGGATAGCACAGATCCCTGAGGAATACCCACCGTTGATGTAATAAGACTGGTAGTATGGTCATTGGCAGTGATGGAGAACTGCCTGTTGAACAGGTACTGGGAGATGTATACGAGCAGTCTTCCCCCAATGCCATTTTGAGCCATTTTGTAAATCAGTCCCTCCCGCCAGATCCGCTCAAAACATCTTTCATAATCTAATACAGCAGCTATGACAGTTTCACCTCTATTGAGAGCAGCCTGTACAGACTGAATGAATCTGATGACAGTCTGAGAACATCCCCTATGCTCTCTGTACGCGTCTTGGTGGCTGCAGTATATGTTGTTAACCTCACAGCGCCATGAGAGCCGGGGACTTACTATTCTCTGCAGGATTTTCCCAATTAAAGATTCAAGTGTTATAGGCCTGTATGATCTCTCAGTGTTGTAGTCTTTTTTGTTGGGTTTTCCAAGCATAGATTTGGGGTCTATCTTGAATTCAGAGGGCAGGACTCCCCCCTCCCAACATTTCTGGGCTAGTTTCCAGATTGAGCGATGTAACATGTTGCCTCCTTTTTTGATGACAATTCCCAGAAGTTTCTCTGCCCACACAGAGCTCCCCGAACAATTTGTCCCAATACTGAGATTCACATTCTTTGACATCTGAGGCAAACTGATCGGCAAGCCCGGTGTAGACAGCCCAGTTGGCTGGATCACTGCGTCTATTATAATTACGTTTTGCTTTTCTGAGATTTTTTACCTGATTGGTAAGCTGAGCCTTAACCAAACCCGTCTGGCCTAGTTATCTACTCCCAACGTCGTAGATCTGTTGTTTCCTCCATGCCTCCTCATCGACTTGAACAAACCCTCGGGGATCGGATCAAAAGGATGCCCAAGTAGCCTATACAATCAAAATATTGTCTTCATCATGTATTGATTATAGTACTCGCAGCTACGTATTTCATTGTTTCAGTGGGAGATGAAGTAGTTAGCTCCATTGGGAAAGGGATCTGTGTTCTAGTAGGCATATCTAGAGATGATACCACAAAAGAAAGTGATATTTTGTAAGTAAAACAGCTAGAATGGGGTCCCAATTGTCAACAATCTGGGTGACGATTATATGGGGTATGAGATTATATGAGTATAATTTTCCATTATCTTTTCCCAAAATAGTGTACATGTATTTATTTAAAGATATTAGGAATCTTGAGAACCCATCGATATACCCATCCTGAATTGTCGAAATACATTTTCTGTTTCAGGGCTAGAAAGATACTGAATTTAAGAATCTTTGACAGTGATGCGGGGAAGAGATGGAACAAAAATGTGATGGATAAAAAATATGAAGTCCTTTGTGTTAGCCAGGTATTAAAACTTTAGACTATTTCATATTTGTTGAGTCATCACAAAAAAAAAAGTTGTAGGCCTAGACATTGTACATAGAGGGTACTGATTTCTATTAGGGGTCATACATATAAAAGCAGATATAAGAGCAAGAGCATACAGAAACATTCATATTTCAAAAATTCTAAACTGTTTGATTACTTTGTTAACTCTTCTTTTAGTGTGTTGGATTGATCTTAAATTCCCATGATTCTTTATCTCATTGCTCTAATTAATTTGGCAATATTGCCAAAATTGGTGATGATTTAGTTAATTACTAGCGATTTACTATAAGTATTTCATCCTTCTTACAAGAATCATCATTGAGTTTGACTAGACAGCATTCTGCTTTCCCGAGACCCTATCTGTTGCAAGACTAACGCCTGGCGTAACTGTCACCATGTTATTCAGTGTTTTTAAGTAGCGCAAGGATCCTGCCATGACCGTGGTAATGTTATCGTGAAAGCCTTGTATAACCGTGACAATGCTGTATTATATTGCAATGCCTGCCATGACCGTGACAATGTAATATAGTTTTGCAAGGCTTGGCATGACCGTGACAATGTAATATAGTACTGCAAGGCCTGGCATGACAGTGACAATGTAATATCAGGCCCGTAGCCAGGGGGGGTTCGGGGGGTTCAGGCGAATCCCCCCCTGGCCAAAATTTATTTCAAAATCATGCAGTTTTTCACCATTCTGACTAATTTTTGAGTGATTTTTGGCCATATTTGCCAAAGTGAACCCCCCCTGGAATTTTTTAGAAAAACGAACCCCCCCCTTGGAAAATTCTGGCTACGGGCCTGAATATACCATGTAGTACTGCAAGGCCTGGCATGACCATGACAATGTTATATAGTTCTGCAAGACCTGGCATGACCGTGACAATGTAATATAGTATTGCAAGTTCAGGTATGAGAGTGGTAATGTTGAAATTTACGATTAGGACTGCTTTAACCGTGACAATGTGTATTGCAAAGCCTGGCATGACCGTGGCAATGTAATATAGTACTGCAAGGCCTGGCATGGCCGTGACAATGTAATATAGTATTGCAAGGCTTGGTATGACCGCCGTGGCAATGTGATATAGTGTTCCAAGTTCGGGTATGAGAGTGGTAATGTAGAAATTTATGATTGCTTTAAGTGACAATGTGTATTTCAAAACCTGGCATGACCGTGACAATGTATTATGGGATCGCAAAGCCTGGTATGACCGTGACAATGTAATATAGTATTGCAAGGCCAGGTACAGTGTATGAGGGTAGTAATGTAGAATTTAGGCTTAGTCCTACTATGACCGTTATAATGTATTGCAATGACTAGTAAATATGTATGACATTAATGCCAGGAATATCCTTAACAATTTTAATAAGTGATCGTCATTACAATTAAACAGTTTAATACTATGATCATGGTGTTTAACTACCTTAATCATGTCAAAATCAAAATTACTACTATACATTAATATTCACATTCGCTTATAAACTGATAAACCACAATAAAGGCTACGGTCGGGCCAGGCTTCCACGATAACACTTCCAGGGTCATGACAGGCCTTGCAATATAATACAGCATTGTCACGGTTATACCAGCCTGTCACGGTTATACCAGGCTTACACGATAACACTACCACGGTCATGGCAGGATCCTTGCGCTACTTAAAAACACTGATTAACATGGCGATGGTTGTGGCAGGCGTATCTCTTGCAATAGATAGCATGTGGCTTTCCCAAGCCATGTTAGAATTGACATGATCTGATGAAGAAAATTTTTGAAAACTGTTGAAAAAAGCACTTGGAGCAGAATTACTGATCACTGCACTGATTGAAATTTCTTCGCAGGATTTTTTCTGAAAAATTGATGAATATGCCAAATTAAAATGGGCGCCAAATTTAGTAGAATAACAGTAATTCGAACATGACTATTCACGCCTTCTATAAACTGTGAACAAAGTCAATATTTCACCCAGGGTATATTCGCGAACAATACCCCTGAGAATATTAATTTCTATTTCCAGTTTACCTTAGAGTGCATCATGAAGGGAAACAAACCTGACTTCCATGCTGCAATGGGTGGAGAAGAATCACAAACATTTTACAACAACTTTTTAGAAAAGTTAAAATCCATGTATAGTCCTGAAAAAATAAAAGGTATGTAAATATTGTGGCCGATTTATTCAAAAGCTTAAGGATATGTTTATTTCATTAGCCAAGGGTTTAATGAATCTAGTAAATGAAGATGCATCCCTCTTATTTGTCTTATTTTGATAATTTTTGTCAACGTTGATAAGCTCTAGAACAAGTACAAGTAAATACAATGACCAGTTTTCCTGGAATCGCCATGGCAATATGTTGAGCACCAGGATGAGAAGATGATAACAATATCCCACCAGTGGTGTATAGAGACATGACTTATATATAATTCTAATTACATGTAAATACTTCAATGTTTCAGATGGGAGGTTTGGGGCCTACATGCAGGTGAACATACAGAATGATGGGCCTGTCACAATACCAATAGAAATTGACTCTTCTTTTGATAACAACCGCGATAAGGTAATGAAGGTCAATAGCATCCTTAGACAGTCCCTTAAACAAGCCTAGAAAGATTTTCAGATTCACTCTACATCGAAGATTTTCTGCTCAATATAATTTATGAGACTGTTATTCTCTTAGGCTTGTTTGCTTTGTGTGAAGTATCGCTTATTAAAAGATATGTGTGACCTCTAAAATTTAGTTTTAGATAAATTCATGATTTTTTTATCAAAAAGTTACTTCAAAGACCACTTTTTGAAATAAAAAAAACTCACATATCACACTTTGATAACATTGGGTAAAACTACAATATAAGGCAAAGTGATTTTAACTTTATATGGGGGCTTTAATAATATATGGCAATGACCAGAATAAACTCTGAGGTCATATATTTGCCATAAATCATAGAAGCATTGTTACAATTCTAACCTGACAAAAGTGTGTCATTGTAACAGACAATCCATTTACTGGTCTATAATGAGATTTACTAATCATACGTAGGCCAAACCCATTATAAACCTGTAAATTATTGTGTTGTAACATTATGTTATTGTGATGTAATATGTTTTGATAATCAATACTTGCTACTTTTCAATTATATTCTGATAGAGTATATGCTAATTATGATTAGCATTGTTAACAGTCAAAAACTTTTTTTCTGTATACTCTATCAAGGTCTCATTTTTTCTCTTCATGTCAATATCAACACACCCTTTAGAAAAAAGGAACCCAGCTATATTATCAATGTACAATGTACTTGTGATTGGCAGACCTTTAATGTGAAATAAATTAAACACAATCTTGATAAATTCACGAAAGATGCTGAACGGAGGTGGTGTGAAAGTGGTTGAACTTAACATCTTGCAAAATGTATTTTTCTACATGTTTAATTTAATAAATGAATAAATAAAAAAAATTTACGAAGAAAATTTTATATCGTATTAAATTAAGTGATCAAACCACTTTTCCATGTGACCAAATTTTACTATTTGCTCCAATACGCTAAAACAATGATTTCAACATGCTTTTTAGGGATATAAACAAAACAAAAAGAAAGCAACTGTAAATGATAGTAGTTCAGAAACTATAGCTACACTGAAGATATCAGAAAGCGAGACCAATAATGTAGATGACAAAAAAATACCTTCACAAACTTAGCATATGGACTCCATGTTATGTTAACACCACTAGATTTCATATCAGATGTTTGAGGTAGGTTTAAATTAAAAAATCACTTGTTAAGTACTCCTAATGAAACGAAGGTGTGAACAAGCCTCATTGCTTTAAATACGCCTTGGTATATTAACAGATATACCAGTCTGAAGGGATATCTCAGAAGAGGCAAAACTTACAATCACCTGTTAAGTGCTGCTAATGAAACCTGTTGTATCCATGCAGTAGCTGTTAATGAACATAACTTTGAATCAGAAATTAATTATGTACTTATTCTTTTGTATAATCATGCAATTTCTATCTTTCAGTCAGGATGACCCTGGATAAAGCAAATCAAGAGCAAAATAAAGAACAGCATCTATAAAAAACAGTATCTGATAAAGAACAGCATCTGATAAAGAACAACATCTGATGAAACCTGGATGAATGAAAAACCAAAAGAAACTGTCTCCTTGTTATAATGAGCTGTATTTATTGTTCAGTTGTTATAAGTTGAATACATCAATCATATAGTTTTGGAAAATAATAAAAATAGAACTATAACTTTAGGATTTCATCAAATAATCATGAAATGCTCTGTAAGAGCAAGGACGTCTATCTCTTTGGTGAGAGATAATTTGACAATTTATAAAGCAAAAGATAATCATAGTTGATTTGATTTAGCTTGATTTCATAATTGAGACCATTGAAGGACAATTTTGGCTCCCTTTTATATGATTCTAGTGCATGTAACCATGGAAATACATGTATTTAAATATGAATGGCTAAAGTACAAATACTGCACTTGTTGTATTGTGGATACCATTTGAATAACAATAGTAATATATTAATAATAATAATGAATATTATTAAACCACAAAAATGACTGTTAGTGATACTATTTATTTGATCAGTTTAATCTTATTTGATTTTTCACCATCTTGGTAACATTTCACTTCTGGTAGAAATATCTATTAGTTGTCCCACAAGAGTTAAAGAAGCAAAACTGTTTTCTCATCACTACTAATTAGTAAAAAAAAAACAGTGAGTGGAAACACATTGAGAATTAATTTTTGTCATGTACACAGGAAAGTCCACCCATATAGCTCAGCGGTAGCACATGTGCCTCTTACGCAATAGGTCCCGGATTCGATCCCCAGTTCAGGAAAGACTTAATTTGCTTGTTTGCATAAAGTACTTCAGGGTGTTTGACTGAGTGGTCCACAACTCGTATAAAAGGCTATGATGTGTACCTATGTCTATGTATGGGTGCACATAAAAAACACAGGACTCCTTTGAGGAGGTGTTTCTATGTCTATATTCCAGGCTAATTACGTTAATTGCGACCGTATATATACGGGATATACCCAAGAGGTATTGCTCACCTTCATTGGTGGTGATCAAAATAAAATACAATACTACAAAAACTGTTGTTTTATTCCAAAAAAAATTAGGTAGGTGTAGGTTTATTTTGTTGTCTGTCAACATTTTTTAGTACTTCCTCATCTGCCAAAACGCTCATTACGCCTCCAATACATCGGGAAAACATTCAGTGGCTACAAATTAACACCAAGACTCTAGTTTTTCAACAAAGTGGGGTTAACCACAGAATCTTGGTTCAAAATCACAATATTTCTTTGGTTAACAATGGAATGTTTCCCCCGAAGTAGTGGGAACATGATGAGCATATTGACAAGTAAAAAAAAAAAAAAAAAAACACTTCAAAATGTTCACAAACTACTAAATAAAATTACAAACAAAAATACTCCACTTGTTTCCGCCAGTTTTCAAGGTTTCGTAAATATCCTAACTGTTAATACATTTAACAACATTTTTAAGATTCAAGACATTTTATTCCAAAAATATATTGTTTCATCAATGCCTGTCAGAACAGGGTAATTGGTATATTGTGATGTTCAGAACTGCAATATTACTGTGTGAAGTGCTCACAGAGGAAAAGGGTACACAGCCAATCTCTATCAGTACCATATGGTACCATTTTGGCTATGCTACTGTAAGATACCATAAAATATGGTAATGTAAAGAACCGCAGACTAAAACAGTACCATACAGTACTGTGAACACTGTATGGCACCATACTCAAATGGTACTGTTTAGTACCATACTTTTTATGTACAGTACCATGATTTTAGAGTGGATTGGGGTCTATTCTGTATGAGGAAAAATTTAGCAAACTGTAACGATGCAGTATGTAGACCATTTGGTTTGGTTCTCTTGGTCTCCATAAGTCATTTTTCCATAACATTCTTGTTTAATATAGAGATATTCCCCGTCGGGCTATAGCCTAGTGTTGTATTCATGACCAGTTCATGACATCATGAATAGCTGCTTAAACAGAGAAATTTGTAACAGCTAGCTTTCAAGCTTTCTGTACAAAATGTTATTTTCACTCGCATCTGATTTTCACAGGAAATAATACATGTTATATGCCAACATTTGTTAAGAGAAACCGCCTACATACTTTGAATAAATGAAATGCGTTAATATAATAAACAAACCAAATTTGTAGAATTATCACGACACAGCTGTGATAAAAGCAGGAAGTGATCGCCTGCAAAAGACACCGTTGTACACTGTGCCACGTGTATAAGAATCATATGGCTGTATAAGACAGATGGTTATTAATTCATATTCCCATTGTATAAATGATATCTTAAAGCAATTAAGTTTTTCTTTCAAGAACCATTTGATACATCAACATCTTTGAAAAAGTGTGTTGATGGGTTGATTGCTAGTTAAATATCTCCGAGTTTGTTTGACTTTATTATTACTGTATATAAATTTCTTTGAGATGATGAATTGATCTAAAAGATAAACCTTTCTTCATTGTTAGAAAATAGTCATAATCCAAGATATAACCTTCTGAAATTGTTTGCGATAACCTACGTGCTCCTTTGTAAAATGATCACTAATCAACTGGGACAAAAACATCTGAGGTGATCTTCCACAAAGGACATTGTTGTACACTATGCCACATGTATAAACATCACATGGCCTTAAGACATATGGTTTTTATCATATTCGCAGTGTATAAACCATGCTCCTTAATGCTGGAAACCATTTCTTTCATTCTCCATCATGATTAAGACAAAGGACAGTTACATAACTTTTGATCCAAACGCTAACAATCTACTGGCACAAGGGCTGCTGTTTTAACAACATCAGAAAACGTTCTCTGTATTTGTTGTGATAGTTCAAGGTATATTGGTAACTTATTGTTCAATTTCTGCTCCTCTGTCATTTGGCTTGATATTTCAGGTTCAGTTTCTCTATTGGCTGATGGGTTAGTTGTATTGTCTGAAAGAAAAAAGATAATGATAGTAATTCTATTATTTTTTAAATTCCACCAAATCTCTTGAATTGTTCCCAGTTAATGCTGACAATACTAACTATTCAGGTAAATACAAAAAAATCTTACTAAACAAGAGCTAAACCAAGTGGTTTATGAGTTTATAATGGGTCTGATAAATCTGAGTATACCTAAACATTAGAGATTCACATGCCCTACCTTTCAGTAAGTTGCCCTCTATGACTTATAAATGAAATTCACATGCCTTACCTCTCAGTATGTGGCCCTCCATCACTGCTATATAAAATTCACATGCCCTACCTTTCAGTACTGTAAATATTTAATTTGGCTATTGTTTTAGTTTGACGGATTGGCGGATTCAAAAATCCGCCAAATTAAAAATCCGCCAATTTTCACATCTATTTTGGAAAATCCCTAGAATTTGCAATTATTTATCTGCAGTATGTGACCCTACGTGTCTGCTATACAAAATTCACATGCCCTACCTTTCAGTATGTGGCCCTCCATGACTGCTTTATAGAATTCACATGCCCTACCTTTCAGTATGTGGCCCTCCATGACTGCTATATGAGATTCACATGCCCTACCTTTCAGTATGTGGCCCTCCATGACTGCTATATAAAATTCACATGCCCTACCTTTCAGTATGTGGCCCTCCATGACTGCTATATGAGATTCACATGCCCTCCCTAGTTGCTGTAAGAAGGCCACAATATCATCTACTAAGGGTGGGAATGCCTTGGCGATCCGCACTATTGGCTGCAAGGTGGGAAGGAAGAACTCTGCACGCTGATCAGCTTTGAGAACTGAAACACATTTGAACGAAAACTAAGAGAACTAGAAAAACAGCAACTCCGCGGAGTAGCAAATCCCACCGAACAAAACATATTTAGATTATTAGTGGCCATCTTGAAAATTCCTTCTTGAGCAGAGCTTGTTTGTCCCTAAGCATCAACATATAAAATGTAAACCATATCCATAAATTAAAATTTGAGTTATCAAAGATTACATTCTTTTTTACTAAAAATGGCGGCCAATTCTGCAATCATTTTGAAAATCTTTCTCGAACAGAGCTATAGTGTCCCTAGGTATCAGCATATAAAATTTGAATTAAGAAAAATGGCAACCATTTTGAAATTCAGCTGCCATTTTGAAAATTCTTCCTCAAACAGAGCTACTGTGTCCCTGACTCCATACTGTGTTCGCTGGTATTAGAGTTATCAAAATTTTATGGTTTTTTTTACGAAAAATGGCCACCATTTTGAAATTCAGTGGCCATCTTGGAAATTCATTTTTGAACAAAGCAACTGTTTCCCTAGCCATCATCATATAAAATTTGAACCAAATCCGTTCACTGGTATTTGAGTTATCAAAGATTATGTTTTTTAACGAAAAATTGCCATCATTTTGAAATAAAGCGGCCATCTTGAAAATTCTTTGTCGAACATAGCAACTGTGTCCCTAGGCATCATCATATAAAATTTGAACCAAATCCGTTCACTGGTATATGAGTTATCAAAGATTACGTTTTTTACGAAAATTGGCCGCCATCTTGAAATTCAGCCGCCATCTTGAAAATTATTTCTTGAACAGAGCCACTGTGTCCCTAGGCATAAACATATAAAATTTCAACCAAATCTGTTCACTGGTATTTGAGTTATCAAAGATTACGTTTTTACGAAAAATTGCTGCCATTTTGAAATTCAGCGGCCATCTTGAAAAATTTTTGTCGAACATATAAAATTTGAACTATTTGAGTTATCAAAGATTACATATTTTTACGAAAAATGGCCGCCATTTTGAAATTAAGCGGCCATCTTTAAAATCTCTTTTTGTGCAAAACTCCTTTGTCCCTAGGCATCAGCATATAAAATTTGAACCAAATCCGCAAACTAGTATTTGAGTTATTATCCCATCGAACGAAGTTCGGAGGGATATAGGGAACGCCTCCGTCCGTCCGTCCCTCCGGGCAATAACTCAAATACCGTTGGCCCGATTTTGTTCATATTTTGTACACATATACCCTATGGGGGTAGAAGTTCTGCTCGAAAGCCGATTTTCAAAATGGCCGCTCATTTCAAAATGGCGGCCATTTTAGATGCTGATTTTACAGTTATTTAGGTACAATATGTAAAACTGTAATAGCAATATGTTTTTAGTGTAAAAAAATTATAAAGGACATTAATAAAGCTACAAATGTAGATATTAAAAAAGCACATGGCAGCCATCTTGAAAAATGGCGGCCTTTACTCGTTATTTTACGATTTTTGCTGTAACTCGAAAAGTAGTGGAGCGATTTTGTTCATATTTGGTATGTGAATACTATAAACATTGCACACTGTCTAAAGACACTTTTGGTAGAAGGCGGCCATTTTGAAAAATGGCCGACATTTTAACATATTTTACTATAACTCGAAAAGTAGTGGAGCGATTTTGTTCATATTTGGTATGTGAATACTATAAGCATGGCACACTGTCCAATGACACTTTTGGTAGAAGGTGGCCATTTTGAAAAATTTTGAAAAATGGCCGCCATTTTAACTTATTTTACTATAACTCGAAAAGTAGTGGAGTGATTTTGTTCATATTTGATATGTGAATACTCTAAGCATGGCACATTGTCTAATAAAACTTTGGGGAGTAGTCGGCCATATTGAAAAATGGCCACCATTTTTATGTGTGTTATTTTACAAGTACATGTGTGCGATTTTTCTAAAATTTTATAGGTGGCTACTTAAAAGCATATTATTTCTTCTGATGACAACTTGGCTAGTGAGCAACCATTTTGAAAATGGTGGCCTTTCTGGTGTGTTTTTATGATATTTGCTATATATTTCGTTTGTAAAAATGCCAGCCATTTCTGTTCGATGGGATTCGCTACGCTTTGGCGTTGCCGTTGTTCTGGTTAAAGATTACATTTTTTACGAAAAATGGCGGCCATTTTGAATTCAGTGGCCATATTGAAAATTCCTTCTCGAGCAGAGGTCCTACACCCATAAGGCATAAGCCTATAAAATTTGAATCAAATCCGTGAAACGGTATTTGAGTTATCGCCCGGACAAAGGGACGGACGAACGGCTTTCCTATATCCCTCTCGAACTTCGTTCGGTGGGATAATAACAACAGAAATTGAAAAGGTGTAATACCCTTTCAAATGCCTAAATTATTCTATTATTTATTCGATTAAAATGCACTTGGAAATAAATCAATTTTATTTTATTATTACGAAAATTCTCGATCAAATACTACAGTCATTTCTGTCTTTCTGAACAAAACTAGAACATTTCCTTTTTTAATTTATGTATCTCTGCTATATTGTTTTTAAGAATATTTCCCAGTAAATAGCTAGTGGGCATTCTGATTTATCAGAACCTAATGCTGGTTTGGTGGAAGAGCAGATCAGTTGCTCCAGCTCTGTACCAAGAAATATTTCTAAAAAATTTTTTAAAAATAAAACAAAGCAGAGTCCCATCAACTAATCCGGATATTTTCATCAGAACTGGGATCTAAAGAAATTTCTGCAGACTGATTTAGAATTGATATAGAGTGGATTATTTTGTCTAAGTTGCAGGTTTTTGATTAAAAAAAATCTTGGTTAAATATCATGATCAGGCCTTCTTTACCAAAAATAAGGCATTCTTGGTAAAATATCACAATCAGGCAATTTTAGTCTTTCAAAGCGCTTATAATATAGATATGAACTGTTTATAAACAGCTCAGTCTACATTGTAAGAAATAAGTACTTGTTATAGATTCACAAAATTTACTCACTCATTTGTGACCAGGGCAACTAAAATTACTACCATTCCCAACAAACAATATCCCTTGTCCCCCAACTAGTGTATTAAATATTAATAGTGTGATATGTTCAACTAATGACAATTTTAAACTACTTTAAGGCATTACTTTAATTAAGCACTTGATTGCCACATCAGACCATTATTATGAATATGAATAATTAAAAGAGGCTTTCAGAGCAGGATCAATGCAATTATAAAAGAGACATTGACATTGAGAGACACGATCATTTGGAAAGCAGTCATAATTTGATTATTTATTGGATTATCATTCCTGGTTCAAAATATGCATATATAGTGTTCACTTTATCATGGAAGAGAAATCACATTTTTATGATTTTGGAAATATCTGCTTCTCGTATATTTAAGAACCTCCACCTGATTTATACGAGCATCATAAAGTTACGGATTGGCAAGTCAACACTCTCTTTTGCAGACAGGCTGTAAATCTGAGAAAGCCGATATGCAGCGCTGAACTTAAAGATAATCGGACAAATGAGGTTCCAGATCAATATTTCATGTTTATTTACGTGCTCTATATAGTACTTTCTGACACAATAATGATTCTTTAATAAAAATGGATGATAAAAACATATCAGCAGTGAACAACAGCCATTTCTTTGATAATGAATCAAATAACGAAATTTATGAAATAAATATTCCAATTCTCGTCATCAAAATCATATTTCTCATTTGGATTTGTGGAGGGAATGGATTAGTGATAACGGCATATCTAAGATATAAAGAATTACAAACAGTCGCAAATTATTGGATTCTACACTTAGCGATTGCAGACTTCTCAATGGGATTGCAACAAATTGTATCATTGGTTGTGCCTTTTCTTCAAGCAAAACCTGGAAATCTGCTTTACAAAATATTTTGTGCGGTGATAACATTTTCCTATGATATTTCAATATTTATGTCATTAGTGATGTTAGTTGGTGTGACGGTTGACAGATATGTCGCTGTTTTCTGGCCGCTGAGATATCATGATATCATGACGTACAAAAGAGCCAAAATTGCAGTTTGTACTATATGGGCTATTGTCATTGGATATAGCTGTATATCGATTATAGAAACAGGATCAAGACCAGCCACAAAATTGGACTGTGTACCACAGTACACAGCGTATCTGTACATACTAATATTTTGTTTAACATCAGTGATCCAGATCATTCTTTATATACATATCTTCACTGTGATTCACAAACAATCCAAGATGATCGCTCATCATGAAGACATTGGCACCAATCATGAAGATACTAGTACTAATCATGAAACTATGAGCACCAAAAGAAAAAATATGGTTATTTTGAAAACTTCAGTGATTGTCATTGGTGTATTTCTACTGTGTTGGACACCTGTTACAGTTCTCGACGGATTCTTTCTTTGGGACAAAACTGCGACAGAAAATTTAATCATTGTTTCCTCGTTTTCCTATTTCCAGCTTTTAGCTTTTGGTAATTCAGGAATCAATCCTCTGATATACAGTTATCGGATGAAACAATTCCGAAGGGCATTTTGTAAATTGATTCGCATTAAAACAAACAATCTAGAGGCATCAGCTTGTAATCCTACTGATGATAATTATTGAAAGTACCTCATTGTAAATACTCCAATCTGATAGGTCAATTAATAGCCAATAATGTCATGGTTCATCTCTCTCAAGATTGACTGAATACATGTACAAGTATTGACCTCTCTCAAGTTGACCATATACAATCATTGGCCTTTCTCAAGGTTAATTGCATACAAGTATTGAGCACTCCCAAGGACACTCTCGAACTTCAATCAAAAACAAGTATTGAAATTGAGGTGTTAACATTTACAAGTATAGCTCTTGTGACGTGTGATGAAAAATGTTGAAACTTACCTCCAAGTTGAGTGGTTAGGACACTGACCGCTAATTTAGCGACATCTAAAGCTTTTGGCAGTGGGTATTGGAGACTCAAATAGGACACTAAGACAACTGCAAACACCTGGAATGACACACAACACAAAGTGTACAACATGAGACAAATGGGCTAGGTGATCAAAGGCAAACATCAACTTTTAAATCAACTCATATAACTGGCTCCCTGGAAAAGCATAGACTACAGTCTAAAAATGCATCCAGCCTGCTCAAGACAGAAACTAGTCAGCTCTCGATATACCTATGTACTAATTATTATTAAAATGGAACAGTGAACTTTCATGAAATTATGAACGTACCTGTTTCTCAAGATGTGGTTGGCTGAGGAGTTCGGGGATGAAGTCAAGACATATGTGCATTGAAGGAATAGCAGCAACCGTCAATGGTAGAAGTGACACATCATAACCCTGGAGCACATAACATTACAATATGACATGATATACTATGAGGTTATATAATGGTTGATTCCGTATATCGTGTTTATACTCAAGTGAGTATATGATATATTCACGAGTGACTGAAGGGAACGAGTGAATATATCATATACTCACGAGAGTATAACGATATACAGAATCAACCATTATATGATCTTATTATCCCACCCTAATCTTTAGGCTAATCAATAAAAGGTTAATCTAAATTCAGCAGTTGTATATCAAGTCGAAGAGTTATATACGCTGCCCAGGAGTTGTATACGCTATCCAGGAGTTGTATATCGTTCTCAAGAGTTGTATACGACGAGTGTTGGTTTTATATTGCAGTTATACAATGCTATTATACAATCATATAAAGCACTTAGGGTGGGATAAATAGAGATTATCCTATATGAGGTTCAGGATATTGGGATTATCCCGAGGCAAATATAATATATTATATTGGCCAAGGGATAATCCCAATATCCTGAACCGACTATAGGATAATATGTTTATCCCATACCAATCTTGGTAATCTGGTTCACATTGTTCAATCGTGGAAATATTTTAGAATATTCATGTCCAGTTTTGTTTTCTTGGCCGTGGGCGGATTTTCCGGTTCTCTCAAATATTCCCACATTTATTTTCTCGGATTTTTGATTAAGTGGATGCTCCTTCCATTTTTTGAACCATTAAACAGATCCCGATTGTGTGTGTTTTCTCCATTGTCGTTTACAGTCATTACGCGAACGTTACAAATTATGCGAGCGGCGATTATGACGTAGCGGGCAGATATACTATATCTGCCCGCTCGGAGCGGGACGTAAAGCTATATCTGCCCGCTGATGAAAATATAAGTTTTTACAAACCGGCTTTATGTACCTGTAACACGTCCAAGTATGGGATAAATATACATATATAATATGTATATAACTATACAGCAGTACATACAAATATGTATATATATATAAGGATTTATTTAAAAAGAACACAAATCATTAAATATGGAGAACAAATGGAAGTTCAACAACTAACATACCTGAAAGTGTACCAACTTAGCTAAATTAGGTTCAGCTATGAACATCTGGTGGATATGTGAGAAGATCACACATTGAACCTCTCGGAGATCAGTCAGTAATGTATTGCTGTCCTGAAAATAAACAATTTTATGACATAATGTTTTCTATATAAAAATTTTCTCCTGAATCATGTACATAGAGCATAAGGAGCGAGATTAAGTAAGGGAATCTCTACCTGTTGATTTTAATTCTTTTAACTTCCCTAAAAGCTATTTTTGTTTAAAAATCATTAGTAATTAGCGAAAGACAGGTATATTAAAAGTAATGAATATAGGAGTTTATACACACACAAATGATGAAATAAAACACACAATTCAGTTTTTATATGTTTCTTGTACATAAGAGTACTAAAGTTGATTGTAAAAATTTGATTCAGTTCCAGAAGATAATTTGGTGAAGTACATCTCAATTTTTGAAGAGGCAATGTTGTCATGTACCAAAATTTTTTGGCACCCTCAACATCCTTAAATTCATCTTTATTTATCCAGATTCTAACTGCAAGATTCTAACTTATGTTATAAACTGGGAAAAGATGGCTACATACGATAGCCTAGGAGGAATGATTTGACAGCTTAAAGTCAAATACTATAAGTAATGATTTAAAGTGTAGTGATTTTATTGTGTGATCTTAGGCCAATACATTTTACTTAGGAGATAATCCCTATGAAATTTTCTGTATTCTCTGTATTACTGTTGAGATTGTCCCCTCTGCAACAATATTTTCTGTATAGCTGCCTGGAGACGATCAATGGAGACAATCCCAGTAGTAACACAGATTGGTACAGCACAAGAACAGGCCAATCAGAGGGCTTCATTTTCAAATCATACGATAAATACATTTTAAACATCACACTTTTGAACAAAAATAAGTTTTTAATGTAATTTGGATAGATTCAATGAAATAATATTGCATATTATGCCAAGCTATGGCATTTTTTGATGCCCAACTGCACACTTTTATAAATAAATAGTACCGTGGGTACTGGGCTCACATGGTGTTGCTCAAAACAAAACCAGGAGTCATAGGGGAGCTTTCTGAACTGATGTTAAACAAAAATAACTTAAAACGGAAATCCTATCAACAGAGGTTTTAAGGCAAATGGTTCAAAAGTGGATTTCGTGAGACAGATGGACAAATCAATGTTAACTAAAATGGCTGAAAATAAAAAAACAGATATAGTTTTTTGCTGATTTTTTGGAACAAAATTATTTCATACAACTACTCTTTACAGTGACATGGCTTTTTACAATGCAGGACACCTGAAATTATTTGTAAAGCTAGGAAATGTGAATTTCAGAAGACAAAAATGAAACTAGACAACAGCAATGCCAAAGCATAGCAAATCCCATCGAACAACTATGTCTGGCATATTTACAAACAAAGTATATACAGCCATTTTTCAAAATGGCCACCTTCTACTAAAAGTGTCATTAGACAGTGTGCCATGCTTATAGTATCCACGTACCAAATATGAACAAATTCGCTCCACTACTTTTCGAGTTGCAGTAAAAATCGTAAAAAAATTATTTGTAAAGCTAGGAAGTGGGCCAAAATTGAATTTCGCGAGACAAAAATGGTAACCATTTTGAAAATAAGCAAGCTTTTGAATCAGGAGTCATAGGGGAGTTTTTTGTATTGATGTTGAAAACGGGAATCCTATCGACAGAGGTTTGAAGGCAAATGGTCCAAAAGAGGATTTCGCTAGACAGATGGACAAATCAATGTTAACAAAAATGGCTATAAAAAAATGGATATAATATTTTGCCGATTTTTTGTAAAAAAATTATTTCATACAACTACTCCTTACAGTGACATGGCTTTTTACAATGCAGGACAGCTGAAATTATTTGTAAAGCTAGGAAATGGGCCAAAAGTGAATTTCGCGAGACAAGAATGGCGACCATTTTGAAAATAGGCGAGCTTTTGAACCAAGAGTCATAGGAGAGTTTTTTGTATTGATGTTGAACAAAATTAACTTAAAACTGGAATCCTATCGACAGAGGGTATAAGGCAAATGGTCCAAAAGTGGATTTTGAGAGACAGATGGACAAATCAATGTTAACTAAAATGGCTGAAAATTAAAAAATGGATATAACTTTTTGCTGATTTTTTGAAACAAAATTATTTCATACATCTACCCTTTACATTGACATGGATTTTTACAATGTAGGACACCTGAAATTATTTTTAAAGCTAGGAAATGGGTCAAAAGTACATTTTGTGAGACAAAAATGGCGGCCATTTTGAAAATAGGCAAGCTTTTGAACCAGGAGTCATAGGGGAGTTTTCTGTATTGATGTTGAACAGAAATAACTTACAACAGGAATCCTATCGACAGAGTTCTTAAAACGTGCCACTATTGTTGACGGATGGACAGACAGACGGATGGACAGATGAATGGACGGACGGACGGATGGACGCATGGACGGACGGACGGACGGACAGACAGACAGACAGACAGACAAGTGAGTGATTGCAATAGCTCACCATGTGAGCTAATAATAATAATAATGATTGCAATAGCTCACCATGTGAGCTAATAATAATAATAAAAAATGTCATGCATTGTTTTTTTCAAAGAGCTGTAATAATTTAATGAAACTGGATGTGATTTTAGTTATTTTTAAACCAATCAATGAAACTATCCATGATGCAAAATTAAAAAAAAAGCTTCAGAAGTTGATAATTTGTGTCTGGCACTCAGGTCTAACGAATTCTAAGCATGTGGAGAATCGATGTGCAAATATTGCTAAATACGCTAATAAAACTAACCCTAGCATAAGCAGCAAGCCAAATGAGGTTCATTTACTCTGAATTCTCAGAATTCAGAATTAAAAAAAAGTATATTATTAGCTCCCAATCTAGTATATACCTTGTTATATATACTTCGTACATGTCTAAAGCATAATACAGGCCATGTATAACACCAAAATATAACCCGATAAAAGTCGGTAAAAAGACATTCAAGTTCGAGTCCCAATTTTTTTTTAGAAAAATGGCAGCAACTTAACTTTAGTCTAATGAACTCTTGGAGATGTTGGAAATCGATGGGTAAACATTGCTAACTTCGCTAATACAACTAACCTTGGCATAAGTAGCAGGTCAAATGAGGTTCATATATTATGAATGGTGGATTCCAAAAACAAACATTTCTATCAATCTCAATCTTGTATTAACTTAGAAAAATGGCAGCCATTTTGAATTGAGTGGCCATATAACAAATTTTTTCTCGAGCAAAGGTCCCATTCCATGAGGCTATAAGGCATCTTATTTTGGTCTCTAACAATATGTCACTAAGTTATACCTTTTCAAGTGTAGTAGGCAGGCAGACTTCAAGTAAAATTTGTACAACTGCACTCTCCTGGGCTGACTGTAGTGCCCCCTTTAACTCCTCGCGCTCCAATGAAACAGCTTGTTGTTGGGTGTGGTCCAAGACAGGGTTGGCCTGGATGTGCTGGTTCAGTTGGGCTCTAGATGCCTGTAAGAAGGCTGATAACACACGGAGGGCAACTTCAAGCACTGGGGCTGACCTGTTTAATATCAATAATAAAGACGATTTTGTATGAACATACATGCTGTAGCTAGTGTGGTTGGTGGTCAGTTAGTAGATGAAATCAATGTGACATTCAGTGTTTTTCCTAAGTGACGGACAATCGGTCAAATCTGGCGATATTGACACAGGACTGATGAGTTTCAACAAGCCAGTCCACAAGACCATCCATATCAGATGGCTAAGATATGCACCAAATTCTTACCTCAAATATTGGTCCGATCTATGTATTTAATTTATTCAAGATTGTACTCATCATCGCATTGAAACTCTTGAAAACTGACAAAATACAAAAGTTTCAGATCTGGGAATTCTAACAGGAGCCATTCATTTCTGTCCACAACAATATTGAATGAAGAGAAAAAAGTGAAAAATTATCCTGGAAATTGCATGGGAATTTAACAAAATTTCACCGCCTAGTTGCTCATAATATCATTAGTTCAATCTAAAGTCAGATTTGAGCTTCTGAAAACTTGTAGATGGTTTTGAAAAAAATGTGGTCAATTTGAAGCAAGTTGAAAAAAGATATTTTTGATCTTGAAAAAGTCACTGAAGGTCAAATCTTATTTATAAAGTCAGATTTGAACTTCTGAAAACTTGTAGATGATTTTGAAAAAAATGAAGTCAGTCTAAACAGCATTTGTTAAGTTATTGGAAGTTTTAAGAATTTGTTACAGACGCCAACCACCGATCACCAACCACCAACCATCAACCACGGTCACAAAGAAAGGAAACCATAACAATATGTCACCACTTTTTGGTGGTGGCATAAAAATTGAATGACTTCACTATAGTGAAGATACAAAACTAAATTTATTTTTGTCTAGTGTAATCAAAGTAAGTTCCAGTTTCGGTATTCATATTTTTGATTTTTTTTAATTTTTGGAACTGTTGGGAAATTTTGTCAAATTTCGATAAAAAATATGGTACTGGTATTGAAGCAGGTAATGATGAGAATAATGACAGGGCTACGAAAAATGACACATGACGTAAAAATAGGGCTATTAGGCCTACTAGTCAAGAGTAATTCTTTAATATTTTAAGGACTGGTTAGTTTTTGGACCGGTGATATAACAGTTACAGGTCCAGGTGACCGATGATGCTTAGCCTGGACTGGTTAAAATTATGATTTTGCTGGTCCATTGGTCCTGTGAGTTGTGTTCACTCAGAAAAAACACTGGTGACATTTGGGGGGAGGGCACAATAATTATCATGTGACCTCTACATCAAATCTTTGTGAAAGCTGATTACTTATAACATACATTGGATTTGTACAGTTTCACATTAAACTAAATCGCCCATTAAGATAATAAAGGTATACCTATAAACTGCATCCTGGCAACGCAATATCAGTAAAGGATTCTGGGTAAGGTCATCCTGTGACAACATCACCTGGTCAGAAGCATCCTCTTTACTTCTTAATGCATTCACTGTCATCACACGTAATCTGGAATCATATATAATCTATAATCTTTATTCTACTGAGGGAAAAACCTGTGAATTTCTACAAGGAATATTACTTGAATGTGACACATGTATTCCAAGCTCTAGAAAGAGACATCTGATTCATCACTCACTGAAATTGTTTTTGTAATGTTAACTTATATCGTATTGTAAATGTAATGTTGGCCTGCCTTTGGCCACCATATGAGCGCCTGTGCGCTTGTATTGAAGTTCCGATGAAAGAAATTGGAAGTATAGTATGTGTGCACTTCAAAATTAGGCTCAATTATATACCGACATCTTAGTAATTATTGCAGCCCTCTGTTTAGTCTACATATAATGAAAGATAAAAGTTAAAATACTGTACTTTGTAACATGTTAATATTTTATCGTATGCTCTGTAAAATGAAGCCCTCTGATTGGTCAGTTCTTGTGCTGTACCAATCTGTATTGCTACTGAGATTGTCCCTGTTGAACATCTCCGTCGCAATACAGAAAATATTGGTACTGAGGGGACAATCTCAGTAGCAATACAAAGGATCACACGATAAAAACGTTATTAAATGATTTGAAGTGCAATACAAGATATATTCTGTCTCGATATTCTGTATTGGCACTCGACTTTGTCTCGTACCAATACATAATTTCAATAACTTATATTATTATTTCCATGCCGTGATACTCGTTGGTTAGTATTGTATGCAATTTTATCCTATGCCAAGTAGAGTTTTAGGGAGATAAGTTGGTAAGATATATCCCGTATCCTGATTTTGAGGTTTCCATATCCTGAACCTCCATATCTCCCGCCATATCTCCCGCTCAAGGGCATATCTTCCCGCTTCGAAAATTGTGAAAAAATGTGAAAAAAATAAAAAAATAAAAATTTGAAAAAAAATTGAAAAAAATTAGAAAAATGTGAAAAAAATTGAAAAAATAAAAAAAAATCGAAAGAAAACTAGAAAACTCTACTTGGTATAGGATAAAGCAGTTATGTACGGTCGGTTTGGATATTGGGTTCATCCCTCGTGAGATATGCACATCTACCTTCGGTCCCTACGTTCCCTCAGGTAGATATGCATATCTCCCTCTGGAAAAACCCCATATCCAAAACCTCCCAGTACATAACCCTTATGTATTCATATTTTTATTTACTTACATGTATATGTTGATGTGAGTTGAAATAAAAAAAAACTAAACTAAACATTACCTCCGAGGCATCACAGTGTTAAGTTTCAACCAGACATGTTTAACTTGGTCTAAAATGGCACGTGGTACAGTGGGTGTCAACAGGCGGGGAAGGTTCATCGTCAAAGCATCGGCATAAGGTATGATGTCCTCTGCAGATAGCTGCATGAGACAATTCAACTGAAGCACCAAAGCAGCATCATTCGTATCAATCTCTGTAAATGCTGAAATACACATAAAATCTAAATGAATAAACGCAAGGAGCAAAAGCATCTAAAACTCATTGTCATGTTGAAAGATCTAGCATGTTCAATGCCCTAGACCGCTCACATATTTTACAAGTAAGGTTCATATAAAGGCAATACGTTGGCATTATTTTTTACAGTTATTTCTTTTCTTTATATTAGCCTGGAGAAGGGGGGGGGGGTGAAAGGAGGCATAAAATTAGTGAGGTTTCATCTTGCTGGTGTCATGATTTCCCCAAAACTCCCCCACACCCATAACCCTTGCAGTGTGTTCTCTTTCGGTTGGATTTTTTGGGTTGGTTTTTGATGTTGCTAAATAGAGTAAATTGATTTAATCACTTAATCATAAATTGGTAATTGTTTCAAGCAAAATTACTTAAGTCAAGTTGTAAGGTAAGGTTTACATGTAAATCATGTTTGATAACCATTGAATTATTCATCTAAAATAAAAAGACAAGGCTTTCTGGAATAATTCATTCCAGCAACAAAACATTGAACATTCAACTGTTAATTCACCATTTATATTCTAAAAGTTTTTAATTGCAAGGGAAAATTGGAAACTTTCCAGATTTTGTATAATGCTCTATTCAGACACAAAAACATAGTTTCTCAAGCCCATGTACTATATTCAGTTATTTAACCTTTTTCCCCTGCATTTATAACTTGATGAATCTACTTGTATTTTTGATTCTGCGCTTTCTTTGAAAGTGGTAAACAGGAACATTTACACATTATAATTTACTCACCATTTACAATTGCCCTTGCATTTGTTTTTCACTTTTCATGAGGAAATGTTTTGATCAAATTGCCCATGCAATTGTTTTTTCACTTTACTTCTCAGGTAAATGTTTTTGATCAAATTGCCCTTGCAATTGTTGTTTACTTTTGTCGAGGAAATGAACTGATGGAATTGCCCTTGCAATTGTTTATTTATTATTCTAATATCTCACTATTAATCTTTATACTGGGGTGTATTGCATAATAAACTCTTACATTGCAATTGCTATTCACTTTTCATGAGGAAATGTGTTGATCAAATTGCTTTTTCTTTTATTTCTCCAGGAAATGTTTCTGATCAGATTGCCCTTGCAATTTGTTCTTCACTTTTCCCCAGGAAATGTTTTGATCAAATTGCCCTTGCAATTATTTTTCACGTTACTTCTCGGGAAATGAATTGATCAAATTGCCCTTGCAAATGTTTATTTATTTTTCTCATATTTCTCCAATATTTTTAAGCTTTATTTAGCTCGCATAGTGAGCTATTCTATTTTGGTAATCATTTTCAATACTAAACTATGTTCCATTATACAAATTACAATTCACTTTTCTGCCTTTATGGCAAATATCTTTTAATTTCCATTTTTGCATCTGTAGCAGTTATCTCGAGCCAAGAGATGCTCAATATGCTGCTATTTCTTGTACATATTTCTGCAAGCAAGTCACTTGCTCCCCTTTATTTTTATTCGTTATTTTCTTTCGTTACTTTAGGATCAAAGAATGAATTTGTACTGTTGACATTCAAAGCATTTTATACTGATAAAGGAAGCATTTACCCATATTTATACAAGGAAAAAATGATTATTCAACTTTCAATGCACTTTGAACTTGACACTGGCTAAATTTTTAAAAGACCTTCCATTTTATTCATGTTCTAACATTGATTTTTTGGACTTAGCACATGGACTAGATCATTATGATAATCTTCTATTAAATCCACTTGACTTTGATAAACACTTAGCCACGGAAGACCAGTTTAACAATGTTCAAACTCAAATGCATAGCATTTCTCAACAGTGTAATTTTGATAATATTGACAAATTAAACTCAACAATTAAATATGACTCATTTTCTTTACTTCATCTGAACATGAGAAGTTTACCAAAGAATAACTGGAAATTTGAAATGCTCAACTCTCTTGGTAAAAATTCTTTTTCTGTCATAGCAATGTCAGAAACCTGGTTAACAGAATCATCTGAAAAGCAATTTACATTAGATGGATATAATACTGTATTTGATTCAAGGAAACTTTCAAGAGGTGGCGGGGTTTGCCTCCATATTGCAAAAACTTACAATTTTATTGAAAGATCAGATCTTAAATTAAACTCTGATAAATGTGAATCTGTTTCCATAGAAATCAAACAAAATAAAGGGAAAAATATTTTGGTATCAGCTATTTATAAGCCACCTAATTTTAACTTACATGAATTTAATAATCTTTTTAATTCACACTTAGAGAAAATGGCATCTGAAAATAAGTTTGCCTATATTTTAGGGGACTTTAATGTTGACCTTCTGAAATCAAATGAACATGACCTTACAAATGACTTTTTGTGTAACTTGTATACTAATAATTTTATGCCTTTAATTTATAGACCCACAAGAATCACTAGTAACTGTGCTACATTAATTGATAACATCTTTACCAATGCAAATAATATCACCCAATCTGGTATAATTTTATATGACATATCAGATCATTTTCCAATTTATGCTGTAAGTAATAATAATGAAACACCTAAAATAAAAAAGCAAAAGATTCAATATCGAATAATAAATAATGAAAATTGTTCCAAACTCCAAGATGAGGTCGCAAATATTAATTGGCAAGATATACTTGATCAAAATTGTGTGAATAATGCATATAACTCCTTCATTGAGATTTTTACTGATATTTATAATAGATGTCTACCAAACAGATCCAGAATAATTAAAACCTATAATGATCATAAAAAACCTTGGATTTCTCTCGGGATCATTATTTCAGCTAAATATAAAAACAAACTTTTCATAAAATATAAAAAGAATCCTACTTTAGAAAACAATGCAATATATACACGATATAAAAATAAGCTTAACCATGTCATTAGAAATGCAGAAAAATCTTATTACAGAAATAAATTTGAGACAAATAAAGGCAATATAAAGAAATCTTGGAATGTAATTAACGCTATCTTAAACAGAAATCCAAATCAATCTTATATCAACGATACATTTGATCTTGAAAATACACAAATCTCAGATGGTCTTGAGATAGCTAAGAATTTCAATAATTTCTTTAGTTCAATTGGTAATAAACTTGCAAAAAAGATAAACAATAATCTAGATCCAATGGTAAATTTAAAGAAAACTAATTCAAATAATAACTCAATATTTCTAACACCTATTACTGAAACTGATGTCATGGCCCAATTAAAATCTTTAAAAGACTCTGCTGCATCTATAGATGATATAGAACCCAGAGTAGTGAAAACACTGAACGAATCTTTGTCAACTCCTCTTACTCAGATATTCAATTTATCAATAACTACTGGTACATTTCCTGATGCATTAAAAATAGCTAGAGTAATTCCAATTTATAAGAAAGGCCTTAAAGATAAATTCAACAACTATAGACCAATTTCAATTCTCAGTGTATTTTCTAAAGTGCTTGAAAAAATTGTTCATGTAAAAGTGACAACATTTTTAGAAAAATATGAAATTTTATATTTACAACAATATGGTTTCAGGAAGAAGCACTCAACTTATATGGCACTTCTAAATTTCATTGAAAATATTCGTAGGTCATTAGATATCGGGGAAACTAGCATTGGGATATATATTGATTTGACTAAGGCTTTTGATACAGTGGATCACAAAATATTATTACAAAAACTTGAATTTTATGGTATTCGTGGAACAGCTCTTTCCTGGTTCAAAAGTTATCTCGAAAATCGAATTATGGTCACAGAAATTGTTAAGAAAGATGTCTTGATTGATCAATTTACAACTACAGATATGAGATATAGATCCGGTAAAAATAAAGTTGAATATGGTGTCCCTCAAGGTTCAGTCATAGGTCCCCTCTTGTTCATAATATTTATAAATGACTTACATTTAATATCAAATAAACTAAACTTTGTCTTATATGCTGATGATACTAATATCCTACTTACCAATAAAAATTTTGAAACTCTAGTCTCAGATATGAATGCTGAATTAAAAACTGTTTCTAACTGGATGAAATCTAATAAATTAACTCTTAATGTTGAAAAAACAAAATATATGATATTTAATAAAAAGAAGGATCCTAATAAAAACAATATTGTTCTCAAAATTAATGAACAACCTATAGAAGAAGTTAAAGAAATCAATTTTCTAGGTGTCATTATTGACTCAAAGCTGAATTGGTCATGTCACATAAATGCTATCTGTACAAAAATTTCTAACTTGATAGGCCTTCTCTACAAGACTAGACATAGACTGACTTTAAATACAATGACCACTATCTATTATTCCATGATATATTCCTACTTAAGCTATTGTAACATTTTATGGGGAAATGCCATAAAAACTCTTATTCAAAAATTGTATGTTCTGCAAAAGAAATTCTTGAGAGTTATCACCTATTCTGATCGTCTGGCTCCTTCAGGACCTCTCTTTTCAAAACTGAAAATATTGAATATATTTGACATCAATAAACTACAAACCGCTAGCTTTGTTCAGAAAACTGTTTCAGAATCACCAGAATTTCCTTTTCAAAAGTTCAAACATTTATTTGTTCCAGGAGCAGCAATTCACAATCATGACACGAGAATTAATAAGAATTTAACTGTAAAAAAATTCAGAACAGAAATTGGAAGAAAATCAATCTAAACAAGTGGCCCATTACTCTACAATACTCTTTCACTTGATCTCAAAAAGTCTAAACATATCAAATCATTTGAACGAAAGTTAAAGTTTGATTTGCTAAGTCATTATTAGACCTTCTTTGAAAAATGCTTTCTTCTTATTACTTGTATTTTATTGTGATGCATGTTATGCTTTGTCATTTTTTTTTTGTTTCCATATAACCTGACTGTTAATTTAATAAATGCTATATTGTATGTTAAACATGGAACTTATACACCCCTCGGGGTGTCTTTTCATGTCAACGTAAAACACTGTATTTGAAACATTTGAAATAAAGTGAATTGAATTGAATTGAAAAAAAAAAAAAAAAA